AGAGAGATGGGGAAAGAGACAGCTGGGAGGAGCTCTCTTGGGGTCAGGACAAATCTCAAACACTGGCCATGAAACTGTCCCTTCAAAGAACCCTGAATTTGATTGGATCAGTTTGTGGAGCAATTTACTCCCCAAAGCATTGTTGAAAAATAGATAGCAATCAGCTAACACTGTGAGTAGCTTAACAGCTGGGTGTGGTCAGGGAAAGAGACAGATCTATGAAAATCACTGTCATGCTAGGGTCACTGTGGGCATACTCAAGTCTGTATCCCCTTACTGAGCAATATCAGGCTTCACACTATGTATGGGAGTGTGGGAAGTAGGTAGACTCCCTAAAATGATCTAGCCACTCACTAAACAAGTAAATAACAATAACAAGCCCTAGAAAATACACAAATATATGGAAGTTAAACAATATACTCCTAAATAACTAACTGAAAAAGAATTTAAGTTCAAGTAGTCACACTTCACAATAAGCAAGTCAAAACTTACTACAAAGCAACACTAATCAACATAGTGTGATATTGGCATAAGGATAGACATATGGATCAGTGGAATAGAATTCATAGTCCAGAAGGAAACCCATGTGTCTACGGTCAACTGATTTTTTTTTTAAGATTTATTTATTTATTTGACAGAGAGAGACACAGCGAGAGAGGGAACACAAGCAGGGGAGCGGGAGAGGGAGAAGCAGGCCTCCCGTGGAGCAGGGAGCCCGATGCGGGGCTCGATCCCAGGACTCTGGGATCACGACCTGAGCCGAAGGCAGACGCCCAACGACGGAGTCACCCAGGCGCCCCTGGACATCCCTTAATGCAGTCAAGTTGACACATACAATTAACCTTCACATGTTCCTCAGATTTGCAATGGTGCTGCACCTGAGTGAAAGACACCCGAGACTGATTCCTGGAGTAGTTCAAGTTCAGCGTCATATCAGAACTGGAACCCACATATTACTTTTATAACCTGAAAAAAATTATGGTTATTTTCATTTGGAAGGTAGACATGTAACATTTACTATTTTTGTAAACTATAGGAAGATGCAAAAAAGAAAAAAAAATCACCCAAATCTCATTCTCCAAAGAAAAGCAGATGACATTTTGCAGCAACTTACAGTTGGCCTTTTATTTATTTATTTTTTTAAGATTTTGTTTATTTATTTGACAGAGAGACACAGCGAGAGAGGGAACACAAGTAGGGGGAGCAGGAGAGGGAGAAGCAGGCTTCCCACGGAGCAGGAAGCCCGATAAGGGGCTCGATCCCAGGACCCTGGGATCATGACCTGAGCCAAAGGCAGACGCTTAAAAACTGAGCCACCCAGGCACCCCTATGGTCAACTGATTTTTACAAGGGTGCCAAGACCATGCAATGGGGAAAGAATAGTCTTCTCAACAAGTGGTGCTGAGACAACTGGATAGCCACATGCCAAAGAATAAAGTTGGAACCAGACATCACATACAAAAATTAACTCAAAATGGATCAAAGGCCTAAATATAAGAGCTAAAACTATAAAACTCTTAGAAGAAACCATAGAAAGCTTCATGACATTAAGGGGCACCTGGGTGGCTCAGTCAGTTAAGCGGCTGCCTTCAGCTTAGGTCATGATCCCAGGGTCCTGGGATCGAGCCCCACGTCGGGCTCCTTCCCCAACGGGGAGCCTGCTTCTTCTTCTCCCTCTGCCTGCCGCTCCCCCTGCTTGTGCTCTCCCTCTCTCTATCTCTATCAAATAAATAAATAAAATCTTTAAAAACAAAAAAAAGAAAGCTTCATGACATTGGATTTGGTAATGATTTCTTGGCCATGACACCATGAGCAACATAAGATAAATTGGACCTCATCAAAGTAAAAGCTTTTGTGCATCAAAGGACACTGATAGCAGAGTGAATAGGCACCAAGATTGGGAGAAAATATGTGTAAATCATATGTTTGATAAGGGATTAATATCCAGAATATATAAAGAACTACAACAACAACTTCTTTTTAAAAAGATTTTATTTATTGGGGTGCCTGGGTTGGCTCAGTCATTGGGCATCTGCCTTCGGCTCAGGTCATGATCCCAGGGTCCTGGGATCGAACCCCACATCGGGCTCCCTGCTCGGCGGGAAGCCTGCTTCTCCCTCTCCTATTCCCCCTGCTTGTGTTCCCTCTCTCACTGTCTCTCTGTCAAAAAATAAATAAAATCTTTAAAAAAAAAAAAAAAAGAGGGTCGCCTGGGTGACTCAGATGGTTAAAGGTCTGCCTTCAGCTCAGGTCACGATCCCAGGGTCCTGGGATCAAGCCCCACATCGGGCTCCCTGCTCCGCGGAAAGCCTGCTTCTCCCTCTCCCTCTGCTGCTCCCCCTGCTTCTGCTCTTACCCTCTCTCTTTCTCTCAAATAAATAAATAAAATCTTTTTTAAAAAAAGACAAATAGCCCAATAAGATCCCTGGCTAAGGGATCTGAGAAGACATTTCTTCATAGAATTATACAAATGGCCAATAGATACATGAAAACATGCTTGATCATTGGTCATCGGGGACCATGCAAATTAAAACAGACTCAAGGGGTGCCTGGCTGGCTCAGTTGGTAGAGCACATGATTCTTGATCTCAAGGTTGTGAATTCAAGCCCCATGTTGGGTGTGGAGCCTCCTTAAAAAAAAAAAAAAACAGACTCAAGTTACTTTACACCCCACTAGGATGGCTATAATCAAAAAGTCAGATAATAACAAGTGTTAGCAAGGAGAAATCAGAACCCTCATATACTGCTGGTGAGGATGTAAAATGGTGCAGCCACTATGGAAACCACTTCAGCAGTTCCTTAAACAGTTAAACAAAGAGCTACTATATGACCCAGCTGTTCCATTAATTGGAATGTGATAAATCCCTTGCATTCATTACAGTTTTATGCGAGAAGAATAAAAACATATGTCCACAGAAAAACTTGTACACAAATGTCCATAACAGCATTATACATAGTAGCTAGAGAACAGAAATGACCCAAATGCCCATCACCTGATGAATGGGTAAATAAATGTGATGTGGCATATCCATACAATGAAATAGTATTTGGCAATAAAAAGGAATGAACTACTCCTACACAGTACTACATGGAAGAACCTTGACAACATGCTAAGTGAAAGAAGCCAGGTACAAGAGACCACATGTTACATGATTCCACTTACATGAAACGTCCAGAATAGGCAAATCTATAGAGAGAGAAAGTAGATTTGTGGTTGCTTATGCTAGGGGTGGGGAGGTGGGAAGGGACTGGGGGGCGGTGATAGCTAAAGGATATGGGGTTACTTTCAAGGTGATGAAAATGTTATGAAATTGACTGTTGGCGTTACACAGATCTGTGAATATAGTAGAAACCATTGAATTGTCTGCTTTAAACGGGTGACTTTTATGGTATGTGAATTATACCTAATAAAGCTGTTCTTCTATAAAATCAAGTTCAAGACCTAAACAAGAAATTAAAAGGGGTGAGATCAAGGTGGGGCAGCCTGATAACGAGAGCAGAACTGTGCAAAGGAGCTCCACCGTGAAAGGGAGAGAGAGCCCCTGGAAGACGGATGAGGGGTTGACGGGAGGGGTTTTAGTGTTCAAGAGCCTGGGTCCAGAGCACAGGAGCCGGGAGGGCTTAACCACAGGCGGCAGATAGAACCTCATTCTAGAGCAGAGGTTCTCAAACTTCACAGTGGGAGGGTAGGTAGGAGCCTAACTGAGGTGGGCACCTTATTCCAAGTTGCAAAAAGACGTCATGTCATAAAGATGGGAGAAGTTTGTTTTTCCTTGGCATAAAGCCTGTTAGCTAACACGGATGGTGACCCCAATTACCAGGTAAAGTTGGGATGAGCTACGTGTGACAAATGGTGCTGTCAAGTCCCCTTCCCTGAGGACTAGTTACCATTTATCTTTTTATTTATTTATTTTTTAGATTTATTTATTTGAGAGGGAGAGAGCTCGAGATCACGGGGAGGAGAAATAGACTTCCTGCTGAGCAGGGAGGACCCCCCCCACCGCCAACGTGGGGCTGGATCCCAGGACCCTTGGATCATGACCTGAGCTGAAGGCAGCTGCTTAACCCACTGAGCCGCCCAGGCACCCCTAGTTATTGGACAGGTGTGTAATGGGTTCTGGCGGCTTGGCTAAGTAAGGGAGGGAGATTCTCTTCTGCCTTTGCAATCTCAGCCATTGCCTGTGATGTGCATCCCATTCTGGTTTGTGCTTATTCAATAACAAAAGTGCTTCCTTTCTCTACTACCTTTGTCAGGAAAAGCTCGTAGATCTTTGTGGAGAGGGTTTCTGGATTGGAAGAAAATTTTGTTTTTTATTTTTATTTATTTTTTTTAATGATTTTATTTATTTATTTGAGAGAGAGAATGAGATAGAGAGCATGAGAGGGAAGAGGGTCAGAGGGAGAAGCAGACTCCCTGCTGATCAGGGAGCCCGACGTGGGACTCGATCCCGGGACTCCAGGATCATGACCTGAGCCGAAGGCAGTCGCTTAACCAACTGAGCCACCCAGGCGCCCGAAAATTTTGTATTTTAAGATTTTTTTTTTTTTAATTTGACAGAGAGATAGAGAGCACAAGTAGGCAGAGTGGCAGGCAGAGGGAGAGGGAGAAGCAGGCTCTCTGCTGAGCAGGGAGCCGGACCTGGGGCTCGATCCCAGGACCTCAGGATCATGACCTAAGCCGAAGGCACCCGCTTAACCGACTGAGCCACCCAGGCGCCCCGAAAATTTTGTTTTTTAAACAATTCTCAAGCTTGAATCTGCTCTTCTGGGGTGCGCCCTTCTCCCAACGCAAGCTGCTTCGTGGCGCTCTTTTCCACACTCAGCTTTCTCTTCCTTCACCTGCAGGAGTTTGAAGACCACACTTCTCCTGCGGGGAGTTTCCTCCCAGCCACGGGCTTGGGCTGGCTCCTAGCACGTGGGCCCTTAGGCAAACTGCCCCTTTAAGAGCACCCCCACCCCAGCTCCTCCCTCAGGCCTGTGGCCGGATTTCCCCATCCGGGCCCCACCCTTTAAAGCCACGGCTCCATCTTTCTGGCTGGCCGTGTACACAAACCGGAGGACCCAGAGGGCCCTGAGTGTTGAGAGTGGGCACAAGTGGGCTGTGACAGGTGCATGTGGGCCGTGGAACCACCACCCGGGGCTCAGGAGGGACCCAGAGCTGGGACAGGGAGGATCCTGGGATGAAGCAGAGCCACTCACTCGGGAGTGGGTTGGACACGGCGTTCTTTGGGCAGCCTGTGTGTGCCAGGCACCGTGTCAGGCCCTTTCTGTAGCTTCTGCTGGGCTATTATTATTCCCATTTTATAGATAGGGCAACGGAGCCTGGAGCAGCTAGCTACTTACCCAGGGCCCTACAGCTAACCAAGTGGCAGAGCCAGGGTCCGAACTCAGGTCAGTGGGACTCCAAAGCCTTGATGTCCTCTCCCCTGCATCACCTGCCTGACGGGTCCTGGCTTCCTCCCAGACTTCCTTTTTCCTTGGTTTCTTGTGTGGCAGAGTGGGGTTAAGGGAGGTGGGGAGAAATGGGTTATCCTCTCCTTCCCCCAGTTCCAGCACTTGGGTCCCTTCCTCCTCCCAGGGGCTGCTTGGAGATGCTGCTTCCCCTTCTCCTCCTCCTCCTCCTGCTGATGCTGCTGCCGGCCCTGGCCATCCTCTGGCAGCGGCAGCCCCGGGATGCCCGGCTGTCCTGGCGTGCTGGCCTCCAGCACCGTGTGGCAGGGGGGGCCCTAAGCTGGGCAGCTGCGTGGCAGCAGTGGAGACTAGAGCAGAGCACCCAGCGCGCAGGCCGGAGCCAGCAGCAGGCCCTGAGGTGGTGTCTGCAAGGAGCCCAAAGGCCCCACGTTCCCCTCCGGAGGACCACAGGTGTGTTTCCCGAGGGTCTGGGGAGGCGGCCCAAGCAGAAAAGCCACAGGAAGTCAGATTCCAGAACCTGAGGACTTCCCTTCTCCCCTTCTACTGCCAGCCCAGAGGGGCCCGACCCAAAGACCCTACCCAGGCTCAAGGTTGTTCAAGATGCATGTTCCATTCCTCGGCCCCAGTAGCCTTGCCCCAGGCGGATGCTGGGTTCCCTCCTCAAGGGTCTTACCAATCTTGCCTGAAACTCTTGGGCAACTTTGGCTTCAGGACAAGTTTATGATGTCTTTGGGGCTACAGATACAAGCACCTTCCGGAACCATCTCCCTCTGACCAAGGCCAGCCAGGCCCAGGAGAAAGAAAGTGGGGGGCAGCTCCTGCCCCCTATGTCAACCCAGTACTACGGGGAGGCCTCCCTGCAGGTAAACTGAGAAGGCTGGTATCTAGCTCCACCAGAGACCCTTACTTGCAGCCCAACCCTCCCACTGGGGTGGGCAAAGAACCCCCAACCTGGGGCCTCAGAGACTGGCTCAGGCCCAGGGCCGACACCCGCTCTTGTCTCCCCCCCAGGCCACCTTGCTGGGTCTGGCAGCCCTAAGCAAGGCCTACCCAGAAGTGCTGGCTCCGGGAGGCATGGCCTGTGTGACCCCTACATCCCCCTGGCCTCGCCCTCTCCCCTGGCCTTGGCACGCCCTGGGCCAGGGTGTTAGGGACCCTGGAGCCAAGCACCCTGGGGCCCTGCTGCTAGAGGCACTGAGGTCCCCAGAGCTGCGGGCACTGGAAGCTGGGACGGCCACTGAACTCCTGGACGTCTTTTCGGGCCTGGAGGCCGATGGCGAAGAGCTGGCTGAAGCAATCGCTGCCGGGAACCCAGGGCCACCTCTCCCCAGGCGGGCGGCGGAGCTGCGGGAAGCCCTAGAGCTGGGGCCCCGAGGACTGGCCCTCCGACTCTGGCCAAAGCTACAGGTGGTGGTGACTCTGGACGCAGGAGGCCAGGCTGAGGCTGTGGCTGCCCTGGGGGCCTTGTGGTGCCAAGGGCTAACCTTCTTCTCACCCGCTTACGCCGCCTCTGGAGGTCAGCAGGACTCAGGGCCAGTGAGCTGGGGGCAGGGGTCAGAGGCCGCACAGCTAAGCTGCCAAGTAGTGAGCCCTACACAGTCACCTCATTTAATCCCCCCAACACCAGCAGCTCCATTTTTTTTTTTAAAGATTTTATTTATTTATTTGAGAGAGAGAGAATGAGAGAGAGCATGAGAGGGAGGAGGGTCAGAGGGAGAAGCAGACTCCCTGCCGAGCAGGGAGCCCGATGTGGGACTCGATCCCGGGACTCCAGGATCATGACCTGAGCCGAAGGCAGTCGCTTAACCAACTGAGCCACCCAGGCGCCCCCCAGCAGCTCCATTTTACATGTGCAGAAACTGAGGCTCATGGAGGTTACAAGGCTTCCACAGATTCGCCCAGCACCAGCATTTACCCCGGAGTCTGCCGCCCCCAGAACCACTGCCTCTTCCCAATCAGGGCCTTAGAGGCAGCGCACTGAGCCTGCAGGAGCCGGGGAGGAGGGGTGGAAGGGCAGCGGTGGGGTCAGCTGCTCAGAGAATCGGGGCCTGGGGTCCAGGGTGAGGGGCTGTTCCCTAGCAGAAAGCAAAGGCGCCACCAGCGGAAGGGCTGCTTGCTCCCCGCAGGGGTCGTGGGCCTGAACCTATGGCCGCAGCAGCCCCATGGGCTCTACCTTCTGCCGCCTGGAGCTCCTTTTATCGAGCTGCTCCCAGTCAAGGAAGGAGCCCAGGAAGAGGCTGCCTCGACCGTCCTGCTGGCCGAGGCCCAGAAAGGCAAGGAGTACGAGCTGGTGCTGACCAACCGCACTGGCCTCACCAGGTGATCACCTGCCGACCCCCAGGTCCCCTCAGGCCCTCTGTGACCCTACTGAGGCCCAGGGACATGAGCTAATGGGCCCTTGGGCCAAGCTCACCACCACCACTGCCCTGTCAGGTGCTGCCTGGGTGACGTGATACAGGTGGTCGGTGCCTACAATCAGTGTCCGGTCGTCAGGTTCGTCTGCAGGTAGGCGACTCCCCGGGGGAGCTGAGCGGCTGTCCTTGTGCCCTAGGCCCCTCTGCCTCCCCCTTCCTCCTCCCCAGGCTGGGCCAGGCCCTGAACGTGCGGGGAGAAGACATTCAAGAGCACGTGTTTTCTGCGGCCCTGGGCCGGGCCGTAGGGCAGTGGCCAGGGGCCAAACTGTTAGACCATAGCTGTGTGGAGAGCAGCATTCTGGGTGAGCTTCTCCATCAGCTCCTGCCCCTCCCCCCCGTTCTTGAGTTGGCTGCACCACCCGCCCCCATACCATACCCATCCTGAAGGAAGAACTCTAGGAAAGAGGTAAGACCGAGCCTCTTCTGCTGCTCCTCACGGAAGTCCTTCCCCATGTCTAACTCCCATCCCTCCTGCTGCAGTCTCTCCCCCTTTCCTTTCCTGACCTGCTTCATAGCTACGATTAGGCTTTGGGTTCCTCCCCATTTACCCCCCTCTCTGCCAAGAAATTCCTTTTCTCCCATGAACCTCGGAGTGGGGTAGGACAGGCGGGGGCACAGACATTGGTATTGGAAGCCGCCCTGTTCACAGAAGTCTGTGTGCCTGGGGGTTTGTCTATAGATTCCTCCGAGGGCTCTGCTCCCCACTATGAGGTGTTTGTGGCGCTGAGGGGGCTGAGGAACCTGTCAGAGGAAAATCGAGACAAGGTAAACGAGACAGGGACAGGATGTGACTCCATGTCCCCTTCACTATGCATGCCCCCAGGTGCCCGGGGCACAGCACAGGAATGGGGAGGAGGGGGGGGGGCGGGGAGGAGAACCTCCGTGGGGGCTCGGGGAGGGGAGAGATGAGGCCCACAGACACATGCGTATGCATGAAACGCCTATCGTGCACATGCTGACATCATCAGGCGCCCCACATCCACAGAGCCACACCCCAGCCTCACCCAGGCCGTTCTCTTCCCAGCTTGACCACTGCCTTCAGGAAGTCTCTCCCCGCTACAAGTCCTCGCGGTTCTGGGGCAGCGTGGGCCCAGCCAGGGTTCACCTGGTGGGGCATGGGGCCTTCAGAGAACTCCGGGCCGCCCTTGCAGCCTGCCCCTCGGCCCCCTTTCCTCCCGAGATGCCCCGGGTCCTCAGGCACAGGCATTTGGCCCAGTGTCTGCAGAGGAGGGTGTTGTCCTGAGCTGAGGCCTGCCCACTGGCCCATCCCCCTTCATAGGCCACCTCGCTCTTTGCTCTGCGGCCTCTCTGGATGAGAACCCTTGGCCAAGGTCTTTGACTCTGTTACCTGACAGTGGCTCATCAGAGCTGCCAGGCCTTAGGGAGGTCCGACCTAGTCAGCCCATGCTGAGCAGCTGACGTCAGCTGACGTCTCCGGACGCCTGCAGGGGCCTGCCTGGAGCCCCGTGGCCCAGATGCTCCCGTGTCTCCAGCCCAGTGCACTGCGCAGGCTGCAAGTGTTGGCAGTTAATGCTCCTGGAAGCCACCCTCTGTCTACAAGAAACAGGAGTTGGAGAAAAAAACCCCAGCGTCATTGTCCCTCAGTGCAACAATTCTGAAGTGTATTCTGCTCCAGTTGCCCACAATGATAACCCTCTCAATAACACAGTTCTTACTGGTTTTCCTTCCTTCCATCCTTCCCATCCCCACTCCCTTATCTGCTTTCTAGGATCATCTCCCAAATAAACCTCTTGCACCAGATTCTTGACTCAGGGCCTGCTTATGGAGAAACTGTAATAGTCCCATTTGCTCTGTTTCTGCGCCGCCTGGCTCCCCCCTCCACCTTCGGCTCTGGATACCAGGGCTCTCCTCCCACTCCCCACTCCAGGTCGGGGTAGGCCCCGAGTGTGTGTGCACCTCTTTCCACTCCAAGCTGATCCAAAATGTGGCAGGACTGCTCTCTAACTTCCCTTGCCCTGGCTTAGCACAGGTCCCTGTCTGGCCCAACACCCACAAATCACTTCCCTGGGTAGGGGCTGTACTGCAAATCATGAAGTATCCCAACAGGGAGCAATCCCAGAGACCATGTGGCTTAACTGTCCATCTTACCCATGGGGAAACTGAAGCTTCATGAGGCTGTGAGGCTCACCCAAGGCCCCACAGCTCCTCCTAAGTAACATGGCCTAGTTCCCGATCAGTTGCTAAGTTTCCAATTCTGTCTCTGAATTACTTCTGGATTCCATGCCCCCCCATCCAGGCCACCCAGCCCCCCATCAGCCCCACGACTCCTTCCTGCTAAAACCTCCTATGGCTCCCCAGTGCCCACAGGATTGAGACCAATCAGCTGAGCTTGTAAGACCCTTGGACCCACCCTGGTCCTCACTTACCTGTCCAGCCACCTCTCCCTTGTGAGGGAAACCACAACTATGACAACCACACCCTACTATTCTGCATGAGCTAAGCACTGTCACCTCCAAGTCTTTGCTCACTTGTGCCTCCTGCGGAATGCCTTCTCCCCAAACTTACCTGATGGAAATCCACTTTGCATGCCAGGTCTTTTTGGGGTCCTTTCTCCCACTGAGCTATCATTATGCCGGGTTGCCTCCCCACCTGGACTTTGGAGCTCCAGGAAAACTGGGCCAGGTCCAATGCACATTGGCCCTCCAGGGCCCAGTGCAGAGCCTGGCAAGGAGCAGATGCTCAACAGACATGCCCCGTATCCAAGAGAGACTTTGGTTCCGAGCTGGCACAGTCCTGCCCCAGGGTGGCTCGCTCTTGGCGACTCCATCCCCCACTCCAGGCAGACTGACCAGGAAGAAAACTGGGCAGGTCAGAGGACAGCACCAGGTTTGGCTGCTTTCTTCCCCCCGCCCAGGTTCAATTTCCAAGATTTTCCACCTTGGAGGTTGGTGGAAGGAGCAGAGGGAAGGAGTGGGGGGGAGGTGGGCGGTAAGAAGGGAGAGGCGGCTAAGAAGCCTTTTCCATGAAGGAAGAGGGCCCAGGAGCCTGACAGACCCCAGGGACAGCAACAAGGAGCAGAAGGGGGAGGCCTGCTGCCTGCCTGCCCTCCCCCCAGCACGCACACCATGTGGGGTGTGGGGCTTACAGCTGCCTTCTCTCCTGCCCTAATTAGCAGCTGCCCACCCCCCCGCCATTGTCCCAGGCCAGCGCCCCAGTCAAGGCCTCTTTTGTGCTCCCAGATTCCTGGGTGCAAGGTGGCCTCATTAGTGCCGGGAGACCGGCCCATCTCCAGGGAGCAGGCGGATGGACAAGGGGGGCACCAGGGGCACAGTGATCAAACTCCCGCTTCTGAGAGCCTTGGCGGCCATTCTTTGGGTCCAACCTGGAGACGGCCCCCCTGCAGGAGGCTAATCTTAGACTTGCCTTTGTTTGGCCCCAGAGTGGACGCAAGTACCCGTCTGTCCCCCACCACCTCAGAGCACTATAAACCCGGGGCCCTTGATTGGGGGTCACAGTCAACGGCCTCAGAGTTCCTGGCTATTCGGACCGCTGCAGACACCTTTCCTGGCTACCCCACTCTGAGCTTCAGACACCATGAACCCTCCCTCTACAAAGGTAAAGACCCGGGAAGAGAGGGGTGATTCATCATACCAGATGGGCAATGAGAATGCTTGCTCCGGGGGCTTGGGGGGGCTGGAAAGAAGGCTGAGGTGTCTCTGCTCTTGGTCTTTTCCCATGTGGGCTCTGAGGCAGGGGACTGGGTGGAGCCTAGGGGCAGAGCCGGCCTGGGCTAGCCCGGGACTGAGCGCCTTCTCCTGAGACCTCGGGGCTGTGCTTGCACCTGTCTCGCGTCCCCCTCCTGAAACCTGCCCTGTAGGAATTATTTAATACCCGTTCAGAAGGGACGAAGGTGTGCCCCCTGAGAGGGTAGGAAACAGGTCCGAAGCGACAGAGTGCAGTTTCCCGGCAAGGGAGCAGGCCGACAAGACAACTTGGAACCTGCCAGTCCTTGATTTGCACGTGTTTGTCCGGGGAGGGACTATACAGGGCCTCTGTTTCCCTGAGTGAACAAACTTCTGGTGCAGACTCCCACACCCTGTTTTCAGGTGGAGTGGTAAGCGCTTTAATGGGGGTACGAGGGACTCAGGGTACCCAGAAAAGAGGGATTCACCTTGCCCAGGGGGAACTCAAAGGGCTTCCTGGAGGAGACGCTGGGCTGGGGCTTGAGCAGGTAAAGGAACCAGAGAGGAGCCCTGCTACGGAGGCAGCATTGCGCAGCGGCCCGGAAACTGGCGGACCGCGAGGTAGGCGCGCAGGCGGGGAGGGGGCGCGGAGCCAGCTGGGCGGGGCCTGGGCGTAGGGGCCGGAGGCGGGCGCGGCGGGAAGACCCCAGCGCCTGGCCTCCTGTCTCCCTAGGTCCCCTGGGCCGCCGTGACGCTGCTGCTGCTGCTGGTGCTGCCGCCCGCGCTGCTGTCGCCCGGGGCGGCCGCGCAGCCCCTGCCGGACTGCTGCCGCCAGAAGACGTGCTCCTGCCGCCTCTACGAGCTGCTGCACGGCGCAGGCAACCACGCGGCCGGCATCCTCACCCTGGGCAAGCGGCGGCCCGGGCCCCCCGGCCTCCAGGGCCGGCTGCAGCGCCTCCTGCAGGCCAGCGGCAACCATGCGGCCGGCATCCTGACTATGGGCCGCCGCGCAGGCGCGGAGCCAGCGCCGCGCCCCTGCCCCGGGCGCCGATGTCCCGCGGCCGCTGCCGCCCCGTCTGCAGCGCCTGGAGGGCGGTCCGGAGTCTGAGCCCTTGATCTTGCCCAGTTCTGGCCCTGCCCTCTCCTCCTTGTCCGCCCGGTGTCAGCCCTCAGAAAAAGGGCAATAAAGACGAGTCTCTTAATGTGGCCGGTCTCTGTTCTGTGTGGTCGCATCCCGTCCTGCAGGGGGCGTGAGAGTCCTTCGAACTATAAAGAGCCCGAGTGCCTAGAAGCCGGGCGCTTGGGCACCTCGGCTCTGGCGTCTTCGAACTCGCAACACAGAGCAAGGAATCGTGAGAAGAGGCCCCGCGGCAAGGAGAGAACATGTGCATGCTTGGAGGGGAGGATGGGGGACAGACAAGTCTCTCGATGCTCTACTAATCATTCTGTATCTCGGCCTTTACAGACAGACAGGGAAGGGAAGGAGAGCAAGGAAGTTTGCACAGAGGAGCGCAGTCTGGCTGGGACGGGATAGGAGCCGAGCTTGCCCAAAAGGGCGAGAATATAAGGTTCCACATGAATCTTCCAGAATGGCTGCTGCATGGGGGTTGACGGTGTGGGGAGCGGTGGGGCGTCGGAGGGGGAGGCTGTCAGTTTCCTGCAGCCTGGATTTTGAAGGCCCTCGCAAATCATCAAGCTTTACATTTCATTCTGTAGGTACCTGAGAGTCAGGAGAAGTTCTTAATCAGAGATGGGGCAAGATTTTCCTGCAACTTTAGCTGAATGCACCCTCCACCCCCAATTCATACGTTGAAGTCCTAACCCCCAGCATTTCAGAAGATGGCCTTATGTAGAAATAGAGTGATTGTAGATGTAAATAAGATGAAGTCGTACTGGAGGAGAGTGGACCTCTAATCCGATATAAGTAGTGTCCTTATAAAAAGGGGGAATTTGGACGCACAGAAACGCACACAGGGAAAAACCATGTGAACATAAAGACAGAGGTGGGGTGATGCATCTATAAGCCAAGGAACACCAAAGATTTTCAGCAACCCACCAGAAGCTAGAAGACAGGCATGGAACAGATTCTCCTTCACAGCTTTCAGAGGAAACCAACCCTACCTCCTCTTGATCTTGGACTTCTATCCTCCAGAACTGAGACAATAAATTTCTGTTGTTTAAGCCAGTTTGTGGTTCTTTGTTTAATAACCCCAGGAAACTAATAAAACACCAAAAGTAGAGACACAGAAGGATGTGGCACTTTTAAGCAATCTAACAGCCTAGATAATACCCAGCTCAGACTTTGGGGGTGAGGATGAGGAGCACCGGCCTGAGATGAGTACCACCCTATCTTCCCATTCTCACTGGCTTTAGCTGCTTCGTTCTAGGAAGCAGCCACTCTAAGCCACCACATTCATCTGCCCCCGTAATTTTCTGCTTTTGTAGTGAAAATATCCCATGTCTGGTGTCATTGGTTCCATCTTGGAAAAGATGGAGATCAAAGACTGGGCACCTGGGTGGCTCAGTCGGTTAAGCCTCTGCCTTCAGCTCAGGCCCTGATCCCAGGGTCCTGGGATCGAGTCCCACATTGGCTCCCTGCTCAGCGGGGAGTCTGCCTCTCCCTGTGCCTCTGCCCCTCTCCCTGCTCATTCACTCTCATTCTCTGTCAAATAAATAAAATCTTAAAACAAAACAAAGACCATCAGTACACCTTTGGAGATTTGCAAACTGACTCTGCCCACCTTGAAACTTTCTTGTCCCCCAGCTTGCCTCCAGCCTCCTTCCCCACTCGAATGGCAGCAGCGAGAAGGAGGGTTAAATCAAGACTACAGGAAGAGAGAAATTGCTTTCCAACACACTTACTGTGTACCAAAAACATGCATGATGCTATTAAATTCTTACAACCGCATGAGGTGAAAATTATTAGCTCTATTTTACAGATAGGGAAAGTGAGGCTTTAAGAGGCTAAGTCACACAATCAGTGAGTAGCAGAACTGGCATTCTACCCCATGGACTCCAAAGCTCTTTTCATCCACCCGGCTGCACTCTGAGGCAGAACTCGCTAGGGTGCCCTATCCAAAGTGAGGCACGATTGAGGGTTAACCCATTCTAGAAGTTGAATTCCCAGCCTTCCTGCCGATCCTCCCACCAGCAAAACTAGTTTCTTTGACCCTTACTGTCACATACTGGAGCGCAGGAAACGGGTGCTGCGAAATATCCCAAGGCCAGCAGGCGGCACTGTGAACCAAACACCATTCCCAGCGTGGGCGGCGCGCGGGGAAACCCGCAAGGCGGAGCCACAAGGAGTCGCCGCGGAACCACGCGTGGGGGCGTGGCCACCCCGGGAAGAGGGCGTGTCTACTACTCAAGCCCCGCCCCACCCCTTGGGTCTCGGCTCCAGGTGGGCGTGTCCCGAATTCTCTCTGCGAGAGACACGCGTGGGCCGCTCCTCTCTGGGAGGAGGGCCGCGGAGAAGGATGAGGGTGTCGCTGGCGGCCCCTCCCCGTGCGGGCCACGTGGCGGGCGCGGGCCGAGCCCGGGGGAAAGAACTTGGCCCGTGGGGAGGTGGGGGGACCGAGGCGGCGCCAAGCTGAGCCGAGAGCTGCGGGATTCAGAGCAGAGAGGCAGCGGCGGCGGCGGCGCCGAGAGGAGGGGAGGAGGCAGGCGGGCGCATGGGGCGCCCCGGCCCCGCCGGCAGCGCGCCCCCTCCCTCCCCGCCGCGCTGAACGCCCCCCAGCGCCGCGCCTCAAACCCCAGCCCCGAGGCCATGCCGGTCATGAAGGGGTTGCTGGCCCCGCAAAACACCTTTCTGGACACCATCGCCACCCGCTTCGACGGCACGCGTGAGTGGGGCGAGGCTGGGGCTGGGTGTTCGAGCTGGGGCCAAGTCGGCTTCGGCGCCGGCGCGGGTCTACTGGATGTGGTGAGACCCGAGGCCGAAAGAGTGGAGTTGACCGTCTAGGAACTCCCGAAGCCGCGGGAAAGGAACAGGACTGGGAGTGCACTGCGAAGGGAGGCGGGAAAAGGGCCAAGAGTGCGGGGGGCCAAGGTTAGGGGTGTGACTGGAGTCAGGAAAGGCTCTTTGAGCCGCAAAACGAAGGAGAGGCCTTGGCAGCCGCCCGCTCCCAGGCAGAGCTCTGTTGGGAGCGTGTGTGGGGATATTCGAGACGCAGAGGTGGGACGAAGTGGTCAGGCGCTCTGGAGTCTACTTCCAGAAGGCTCCAGCATCTCCTTCCCCCAGAAAAAAAAAAAGAAAGAAAGAAAGAAAAAGAAAAAAGAAAGAAAAAGATCAGACTTCAGCAGCACCTAGCTTGGATTAAGGTCAAGCGCCCCCAAATCTTGGCGCCTTTGTGTCTGAGGGAGGTGAGGCAGGCGTAGGGGGGTGGTCCGTGTGACGGAGGGAACTCTCTGCTCGCCCACCCCCAGTTTGGATTCCAGGTTCAGCACCTTGGACAGCCACACTCCTGCTTCCCAGCCTCTTCTCCCGCCTTTCTTTCCCTACTTTGCAGCAGAGAGATCTCCCCCTGCCCCCTTCGGGCACCCTGACCAGTATCTGGAAAGTGGGGGGAGCGATACCCGCGGGCGGAAGCCGAGCCACCGGAGCCCTAGCCGCCTCCCCACTCTCCCCCCACAGACACCTCCCTTGTTTCCATAGCTCCCATCACCGGGGCAACGGGCCCTGGGATGGAAGAAGGAGGCTGCTGCCCAGGGCCCAGAGCTTCCCAGGCACCTTCAGTCCCCATCAGCCTCTCCACCCCCACACACTCACCCCTCTTAGCACCCAGCACTGGTTGTGTCTCAGGCCCCTTCCCTCAGCTGAGATTGCCCCTGGATGGCCCACAGAGCCCCCCTGTGGCTTCCACCCACTGGAGCCAGAGGAAGCCAACTCAGCTTCTACTCCTGGGGTTGCTGGATTAAAAACTTCCTTGCCCAGTATGCTGTCAGACTTTGAGCACTGGGACAGACCCCCTGAAATTACCTAAAGAGATGCTAAAAAGAAGACCTTTCCTGGAAGGCAGAGAATGAGGACTCTACTAATCACTGTCTCCCTCCCCCAACAGAGGAGATTTGTGAGTTTGTATAATATCCGTCTTCTGGTTTCCTATCAATAAAATGGGTGTGATGTCACCAGAATCTCTGCCCTGTCTACTCTCTAATAGGAGGACCGGATAGCGGCTATGCATGTGTTTTGAAAGCTGTGGGAACGTGGGGGAGTCGTTTTTAACTTCTCAGTATAGCACTTAGTATGTGCCAGGCTTTGTTCTCCCCAGGTAACTCACTTTCACAAACAGTCATGTGAGGAAGATATATTATGCCCCACTTTGCAGATAAGAAAGCTGAGGCACAGAAGAGCTCATTAACCCTTGTCCAAGGTTACAGTGGGAAAGTGGCAGAGGTGTCATTCTGGAGTCCATGCCCTTACTACTATAGCTCCCCTGTAATAGCTCACCAGCTTGAAGGCAGGAGGAAGGACCGCATGACCTTCTTCAACCCCCCACTGGTCCCTGTCCCGGTTCTAGGCCATCCTTAAGTCCTTGTCCTTTTGCTCTGTCTCTTCTTACTCTCATTTCAGAATAGCCCAAAGGGGATCCAGGAATCACATGGAAGCCTGGGAACCTTCTGGCTCTGTGACCCCTGACCACAGCTTGGGGGAGGTACTGCCCACCTTGAAGCTAAGCTCCCTTCCTGGCCTTGACCTAACCTTGACCTCTTCTTCCCACAGACAGCAACTTCCTGCTGGCCAATGCACAGGGCCCACGGGGCTTTCCCATTGTCTACTGCTCTGACGGATTCTGCGAGCTCACAGGCTACGGCCGCACTGAGGTCATGCAGAAAACCTGCAGCTGCCGTTTCCTCTATGGTCCAGAGACCAGTGAGCCAGCCCTGCAGAGGCTGCACAAGGCCCTGGAGGGTCATCAGGAGCACCGGGCTGAGATCTGCTTCTACCGAAAGGATGGTAAGGGGGCCTGGCCCGCCCTGCAGGCCTGTGCAGATCCTGGGCCATACGCAGAGTCCACCTGGCACAGTGGAAGCCTGAGTGCTGGTCCCCACACTGCCACAAGCTGACTATGACACTTAGTGCATCCCTGATCCTCTCTAGGCCTTGCTTCTCCAATCGGGAAAGGAAGGAGTCAGCTGACATAATCTCTGGGGTTCTTTCCATCTCTAAACCTTTGCCAAGCCCTTTGACCATGCCCAAGAACCTTGGGTGATCAAGGGAAAGGGGTGTCATGGGCTGCTCACCCTCTCCTTCCGTCTCTCCACATCTACAGGCTCGGCCTTTTGGTGCCTCTTGGACATGATGCCCATCAAGAATGAGATGGGAGAAGTCGTGCTTTTCCTCTTTTCCTTTAAGGACATCACTCAGAGTGGAGGCCCAGGAGTTGGCTCCCCAGGAGGCCACGGGGACAGTAATCATGGTAACTGCAGGTCTGGGGAGGAAGCAGGAATGGTCAGAGGTTCTTGCTGAAGGTCACACAAGACATCTCCTTACCCGGTCTCATGGGATGTGCCCCCACTTATCTCTGCACCCTTCTTCCCAACAGAAAACTCACTTAGCAGGAGGGGAGCCGGCTCAAGACTCCGATCTGCCAGGAGGCAGAGCCGTACTGTCCTACACCGGCTGACTGGCCACTTTGGCCGCCGACGCCAGGGAGGCATGAAAACCAATAATGTGAGTCCTATCTCCACCCCAACATCTCCCAGCTGTGATTCTGAGGCACCCTTGCTAATGTCTCCCTGTCTGTCTGATCTCCCTCCGGTGGCTTGTTCCTCTGTCCACCCATTTCTTATGTGCGACTCTCTGTTTTGTCCCATGTGCCTTCACATCTTCTTCCAACCCCATCTCCCTTGCTTCCTTATGATTGACATTACTTTACTCTGACGATGTCATAAGGGCAGGGATCTAGCAGCAATTACATCACCTACCTCTGAATGATAGTGTTACCTCATGGGGGGGTGAAATCACAAACTGTGGTTCTAGGGAGAAAGCCCCCATTAGGGTCCTGGTACCCAGCCCTAGGACCCTGATAAAGCCACGGGATCAATTCTCCAACTCTCTGTGTAGTTTGTGGGGGCTACAGGGAATGGAGTGTGCTGTGCCAGCCTCCCTTCATCTCTGGGATATCCCCATCCCCCACAGGGACCCCAGATTCCAAGCAAAACTTGAGGGAGAAGTTAGTGACCCCTGGGTGGGTGAAGTCTAAGGCATGTGCCTGATTTGTCATAATCTCCTTCTCAAGCAGGGTGAAGGTCAAGCCTTATAAATACCTCCCACAAAACATGATTGATCAAAAGGGGGCCCAAGCAGTAGATTGGCAGAGGAAGGAAGTGTCAGGCGCCAACCCATGAACCCCTTTCCCGCACCTTCTATCTCCTCTTGTGGTCATGCCTGCAGCGTCCACTCCCCCCCTTCCCCCTCCCCTGCCTCTCCCTTCCCTAAGCTTTGGCTCCCCTTTCCCTTAAATGTCCCCAACCGCCACCCCTCTCCCCCTAGAACGTGTTTGAGCCAAAGCCATCAGTGCCCGAGTACAAGGTGGCCTCCGTGGGGGGGTCCCGCTGCCTCCTCCTCCACTACAGCGTCCCCAAGGCCGTGTGGGACGGCCTCATCCTCCTCGCCACCTTCTACGTTGCGGTCACCGTCCCCTACAATGTCTGCTTCTTGGGCGATGATGACACCCCCATCACTTCCCGACACACCCTTGTCAGCGACATCGCCGTGGAGATGCTCTTCATCCTGGGTCAGACCCTCTGCCCCACATACCTTGGCGGGTGGGCTGGGGGAACCCACTCATCCAAGCTTCGCTCCATCCTGAGCCCGCAGGACCCAGGCATTCAGAGCCCAACCATTTCTGGGTCTTTAAGTCCTAATGGTCCAAATGCCCCGAGCCTCGAGCCCTTCAGCCTTTAGACCATTCCTCCCTAAAGAGCAGCCAGAAGCCCAATCTGTCTTCCCCATTCCTGCCTCCAACTCCATTCTGGGTCTCAGGCTTATTCCCAGCTTACTCAGTTCCTTGGTAAGCCTAGTAACGAAGCCCGCTAGTAACAGCCTCTTGCACCCCCAGATATCATCCTGAACTTCCGCACCACCTATGTGTCCCAGTCCGGCCAGGTGGTCTCTGCTCCTCGTTCCATTGGCCTTCACTACCTGGCCACCTGGTTCTTTGTTGACCTTATTGCTGCTCTGCCATTTGACCTGCTTTATGTCTTCAACATCACCGTGGTGAGTGACCCCTGTCCCACCCGGCAGCCCAGCCTCCCAAATTCAGCGCAGCATCTCGCACTAAGGGAACCCCAACCCAGACTCAGCCCTTCCCATCCATCCATCTGCAAGTAGTCGTCAGGCCCCTGCTGTGGGCCGAGCCCCATGCTAGCTGCTCAGAAGGAGCTGGGAGGGTCTGTGCTCTCGGGGAGCTCAGCTCACAATCACTGAGGGAAGCTGAAACAAATGAAAAGCTAACTAGGGCTACCAAGGCGGCGTTGGTCTGATGCCAAATGAGTGGTACTTTTCACATTTTTATTTAACAAACAACTGATGAGCATTTAGCTGTCTGCAAAGCACTGTGTGGAGCATGGTCACTGTGGGGGAAAGGGACAAGGATTCAGCCTCCAGGCAGCTAAGTTGGTGAGGGGGCAGGACTGTTGGAGGGGACAGCAGGAACAGAAGAGGTGAATGGAGAGGAAGATGGGGCCCAGGTATTGCTAGGGGCTGGGCACGGAGCTAGCTGATCTTGGAGTTTCAGGCAGGAAAGTGGGCATGCATGAAAATGATCTGATGATCTGAAATCTAGCCAGTGCCTGGGAGGCCAAGGCGCCCCAGCTGGGACAAAGGCCCAGGTGGTCTGGGAAGGACTCCTGCAGGAGATAGAGCAGAGCTAGACCCTAGAACAGAGAGCAGGATTTGGCTGACAGGGGATGGGGAGAGAGCATCTGGGGGGAGCATAATAAGCCAAGACACGGAGGTGGAGGCTGTGGGGTGGGTTTGGAGGCAGAGAGTGCCAGGGCCTGGGTCCTCCCATCTCCCCGGGGACTGCCTGGAGGTGCCTTGGGTGGTCAGCTCTGCAGCCAGCCAGCAGATAGCAGGTGCTCTCTCAAGTCCAGGGTGAGGGAGTCCCACCCTGTGTCCCCAGACTCCCTTGGCTGTTGGGTGGGGAGGTGGAGAGCAGTTTCCCTGTGCGCTCCGCTCTCTGCCACACTCAGCTATAGCAGGAAACCACCTACACGCAGCCGGATTTAACTAGCCGCCGACGGGCTGTGGGCCTCTTCTCCTGCTCCTGGCTGCGCACACGGGTGTGCACGCTCCCACACACGTGCCTGTGTGTATGTCTGCCCTGAGCTCCGGCCACGCTGAGCAGAGCTACCCACCCCTCCCCGTGAGCGCACTCTCCCATCCCATGCCTCCCAGGCTGTGTCAGCAGGCAGACAGCTGTCCCTGGGGAGAGAGAGAGCTGCAGAGAGGCCCCTGTCCCTCCTCCCAGGCGGTCCCGCTCCTCTGGTACCTTCAGGGCCACCTTTCACTTACTAAGTCCTTTCATGCACATCATCTTATTTGAGTCTCACAGTAACCCCTCTGGGCAGATTCTCTTTTTCAGAGGTAGACGCAAAGGCTCAGAGAGGTTAAGCAGCTTGCCACAGGTCACAGAGCTAGAAGTAGCAGGCAGGAGATTGGAACTAGGTCTCCAGACTCCTAGTCTATCCCTCCTTCCACCACACGACCCTGCTTCCCAGGAACGCAAGGCCCCCGAGTGGATGAGGTGGCACAAGGGGAGATGAGGAGCAGTGCTGGGCTGGAGGGAGGCAGAGCAAAGATAGAGGATGAGTAGACATGGAGAGAGCTGTGGACTGAAAGGAGCCAGGCCTGGGACGTTCTGGTCCAAGGAGAAGGAGAGGCGGGCCCCAAGAGAGTGAGGCGCAGGGGCAGGTGACTAGAGGCAGCCCTGAAGGACTCAAGTCTGGAGGCAGAAACTCTGGGAGCTGGGGGCAGGCGTTAAGCCCTGGAGACGGTCCATGTGGAGGAAGCAGGGCCACCTCCTTTCCAGCTCCTTCACCTAAAATTAGAGAAAAGGACAGGAGGTGGCTCAGGAGCCGTGTAGGGCCAAGACTACGGGGGATGATGCTAGAGGCTTCCGGAAGGGCCTTCATATTAAGTTCCCCAGGCCCTGCCCCAGAGCCCCCAGCCCTGGCTTCCAAGCTGCCCCACCCAGAGTACCTGCTCCTCTTCTCTAAAATTCAGAGGGCTAACTGAAGCATTAATGACCACAGTGAAAACAGGTCAGAGTGGTATTTTTGGTAACACTTACAGGATGCTTACGAGGTACCACTAGCTCCATCAGCCCCCACCCAGCCCCACAGGGGCTAAGACCTCAAAGCCCAGCGCTGAGGCTCCCTCAGTTCCTGGTCTCCTTCCCTCAACATTCCAGCATGCCCCCCTCATCTGCAGCTGACCCACCCTGAGAACAGCCCCTAAACTTCCCCAGTCCCCAGGCCTCTTGTCTGGTCCCACTCTCCCTTGCTTCTCTGTGTCTCGAGGGATGGCTCCCTTCACAGATGCTGTCGTCGCCGACAACCAGCTCTCGCCCACAGTTGATTGTGCCTAGGACTTTGGGGGTGTCAAGCAGGGACCAGAGATCACTCCTTACCTCTGACCAGGACTTGCTTTTTCACCAGCCTACGGTGCTAGAGGCAGCACAGCACAAAATGGACTTGGGTAGCTGCTCAGAGGGAAGTCCCAGCTCCATCGTTTCCTCGGTGTGTGACCTTGAGCAAATCACTAGCCTCTCTGAGCCTTAGTTTACTCATCTGCAAACTGGGAACAGTGATGATAATTGAACTGAAGGCGTGAGTTTTTTCATGAGGATTATAAATGCTTAGCCCAGTGCCTGACGCACAGAGCGAGTACTTATATAAGTAAGCCAGTCCGCGCCGAGTAAGTGTTAGCCTTTATTAGCGTTGGTATTATTCTCTGCCTGCTGCATTCCCTGGTCACTTTCTCAGGACAGCAGGGCCGTTGTTCCTGCTGCAGCTTCCCCTGGCTCCCGGGCATCTGGTGACAAGGCGCTGGGAGGGGCCCTGGGGGCTCCGAGGAGGTGGGCCCGCTGACAGCCTCCCCCGCCGTGCTCCCGCAGACTTCGCTGGTGCACCTGCTGAAGACCGTGCGGCTGCTGCGGCTGCTGCGGCTGCTGCAGAAGCTGGAGCGTTACTCACAGTGCAGCGCCGTGGTGCTCACACTGCTCATGTCCGTCTTCGCACTCCTCGCCCACTGGATGGCCTGTGTCTGGTACGTCATCGGCCGCCGGGAGATGGAGGCCAATGACCCGCTGCTCTGGGACATCGGTGAGCCACCGGCGCCAGGCTTCCACTGACACCCATCTGCCTGCCCTGTCCACACTGGCCCCCAAGCGGATGCCTCCCCCGGCACCACCCCCACCAGCCCACGTTCTTCCCTCCATCCAACAAACGTGCATTGAGCTCCTTCCCGGTCAGGCGTGGGAGTACTGAGTTGAAGACCAGGGGTGGGACCGGGTGACCTCACAGCCTAGCAGGGGAGCCAGACCAGTGACAGGCAATCAAAACAGTACAGGAAACACTCTGATGGTGGGGAGGGTGTTTGGGGCAGAGGGAGCAGTACCCTGCCTGGACCCTGTCAGGGGCTCCGCAATGCCCTCAAAATCAAGTCCGCACTTGGTCCACACCCTGCATAGCCCTGCAGCCTTCTCTCTCCCCACCTGGCTTCCCTTTTTCCCCTGCGCCCTCTGCTGCGGCCACACTGGCCTCCTTCCACCCCCTGGGCTGTACTGCTTTCTCACAACGGCCTTGAACATGTTTTCCTCTCAGGAATCCTCTCCCTCCCTTCTTCCCCTAGGTGACTTTTCTATTCCTTGCAATCTCCACTAAAACCCTCTGTCCTAAGGGAGCCCTTCAGGAACCACACCCTCCCCCAACTGGGTTGGCTCTCCCTAACCCATTATGGCTCCTGGACGCCCTATACTTCCCTTTGAGTAGCTCACTGCCCACCTGCAATTTATTTCATGTGTCTTTCCCCTCCAGACTCTTAAGTTCCACCAGGGCAGGGAGAATGTCTGGCGGGTCAAGTGCCAGCACCCTGTACACAAGGGGTGCTCAATAAGCTATTAGAGAGCCCCCCCTTCAAACAGTCAGCAGCTCAGCAGCTTAGCCTTGGTTACTGCAACTGTAACCAGTTCACTGTGGGGAGTCCCAGGCCCAGGCTGTTCCTCACATTTCCTGTGCCTGTGGGTGCAAACCTCCCCTCGCCTCTGTAAATACTTGCCCAAGGTCAAGCGCAGGCAGCTCAGGGAAGGCCAGCTCTACCCCACCCCACCCCCCCAATGCAGCTGCTCCTTGCCTCCCTCCACCCCCCAGGCTGGTTGCACGAGCTGGGCAAGCGGCTGGAGGAGCCCTACGTCAACGGCTCTGCGGGCGGCCCGTCGCGACGCAGCGCCTACATCGCTGCCCTCTACTTCACGCTGAGCAGCCTCACCAGCGTGGGCTTCGGCAACGTGTGTGCCAACACCGACGCGGAGAAGATCTTCTCCATCTGCACCATGCTCATAGGCGGTGAGGCCGGGCCTGCCAAGCCCCGGGGTGGCCCTGCTAAGCCCAGCGCGCAGCTGGGGAAACGGGCTCAGAGAAGGCAAGCTGTCCACCCACGTCCAGACAGTCGTTCATTCATTCATTCATAGCCGTTTCCTCAGCACCTACTACATGCTGGCCCTGGGGGGCATGCCACACAAAAGGCGTAGCCTCTTGCGAAGGGGGTGGGAAACCCAAGTTCATGACCTGGGGGGGAGGGGCAGGAGAGGAGCATCAGGTCTGGCCCCTCCCTGCCCCCCCTTACCCAAGCCTACTGGCTCTCCTGCCCCTCCTTCCCCGGGAACCCAGAGCCGCGGAGGGCGCGGGAGGAGGCGGGGCGGCGGGGGCGCCCCTCACGGGCCGCCCGCTGCCGCCGCTGCAGCGCTGATGCACGCCGTGGTGTTCGGGAACGTGACGGCCATCATCCAGCGCATGTACTCGCGCCGCTCGCTCTACCACAGCCGCATGAAGGACCTCAAGGACTTCATCCGCGTGCACCGCCTGCCGCGGCCGCTCAAGCAGCGCATGCTCGAGTCCTTCCAGACCACGTGGGCCGTCAACAGCGGCATCGACGCCAACGAGGTAGTGCGCGGGGCTCCCGCCGTGGGGAAGGAGCGGCGGCCGACCGGGCCCCGGGAGGCGAGGGGCGGCTCGCGGGGGCGCGCACCCACCCAAATCCACATCCCTTCCCCTTTGCGCTAGAATACGGGAGCTGAAAGGGAGCTCAGGCCTCAGCTAATGCCATCCTCCCCTCAGCCCGCATTTCCTGAGCCCTTGCTGTGGGCCAGCCTCTGTGCTGGACACAGGGAGTTCAGAGGTGATGACACTCAGCCCTGTCCTCAGGGAGACACCAGTTGGGTGAGGGAGGCGGGCCGGTAAAAGAAATAATTACGCAGTGATTGGGACTCTGCTGGAGGGAGGCCTGGAGGAGTCAGGGAAGGTGGCACAGAAGAGGGGACGTTGTGAAGGGCAAGAAGGAAATCAGCCTGCTACCAGAGGCCATTCCAGGCAGAAAGAGCATTATTAGGAACAGAGGTCCGGAAACGTTGACGTAAAAAAGCAGGGCGAGTTCAGGGAACTGAAAGTCCTTCAGTGAGCCTTCAGGAACGGGTGTGTGAGTGCTGTGGAGGGAGGAGGGAGACAGGAGTGCAAGAGACAGGGCCGGGGAGGCGGGCCAGCCCAGCTCATGGACAGTCTTGAATTTAGATTTTAGCCTGCAAAACTTTTAGGCTGGGGAGTGGCCTGGGGCTCTAGGAGGTGTTTCTGAGAATAGGAGCCATGGGACCCGGTGCTCAGCTGGTTGCAGGAGAGGAGCTCAGAATGAGTCCCAGGTTCCTGTTTTGGACAAAGGGGTGTGATGGAGGCATTGCAGGAGGAAAGTTGGACTTTGGGGTGAAAATGACCAGGATGACGGTGTGGTGCTTGTGGGAGATCCAGGTGGAGGCTGCTCCATGGGTAGATGAAAACACAGGTCTAGATCCATATGCAGGGCTCCGGGCTCACCAGGAGTAGGGAAGTCATGGAGCTGGTTGCCATGATGCAGGAAGAGTATGGAAAGTTACAAGAGGAAATGGGGGAGAGGGAGAGGTGAGCAAGCCAGAGTGGTCTAGGGTCTCCATAAGATGAGGTTAGCGCTGTGAACGTTAAGTTTGGTTCCTTGAAAGTCATTGGTAATGTTCAAGGCCTAGTGTAACCCTGCATCTTTACAGATGAGGATACAGAAGCCCAGAGAGAGCAAATGGATTGCCCAAGGTCCACAGGGATTTAGGGGCAGAGCTGACTTCTAGTTTCCTGCCTCTAGGTTGAAAGGCTGACCCACCAGGGCTGGTCCTTGTGTGGAGTTGAGCAACCAGGACATGTGAGTGACCACTGCACATAGTCATGGGCAGTGGACAGACAAGAAGAGACCTAGTCTCTGCTCCAGAACTTGGGTTGGGAGGTCCACACACAAGCAAAATTGAGGTTTGACACACACGGGTCTTCCTGAAGGTCAGAAAGGGGTCACTTCGAAGCAAAGGGCAAGTTGGAGCTCTCCCCTTGGAGACAGCTCAGCACATTAGTAGAACTCAAGTAGCAGCTGTAGGGGGACGGCTAGAATGACCTATGCCCCTTATGCAGTTACTGCGTGACTTCCCAGACGAGCTGAGAGCTGACATCGCTATGCACCTGAATCGGGAGATCCTGCAGCTGCCGCTGTTCGGAGCGGCGAGCAGGGGCTGCCTGCGGGCCCTCTCCCTGCACATCAAGACCTCGTTCTGCGCTCCAGGCGAGTACCTGTTGCGCCGTGGGGACGCCCTGCAGGCACACTACTACGTCTGCTCCGGCTCGCTTGAGGTGCTTCGAGACAACATGGTGCTGGCCATCCTGGGTGAGGATCCCACCACCACCTACTACCTAACCCGGAACCTTGCCCCAGAGGCCTTCAGTGTGGCCAGGAATCTAGGGACTGGGATACCCCTCGTGGATATGTGGAATTCCTGCTGAGGAGTCCTCTTTCCTGGTTCCTTCACCCTACTACCATCCCCTTTCCACCATACCCTCGGACTCTCCCCTAATCCCATTGGCCATCAACCCATCAACCCTCCCCCAGTTACTCTCCCCCAACTCAATTGGTCCTTTCCCACTGCACCATCTCCCAACTCCATTGACCCTTCCCATTGACCTTTACCCTTTAACTGACCCCTCTGGCCATTCTTTACTGATCATCCAATTTCATTGATTATACTGACATCCCCCATTGACTGTCTCCCAACTTCATCTGTCATTCTCACTGACTTTTTCCCAACTCCATTGATTATTTCCACCAATCCTATTGATTGGTCCATCTTCGATCACACTTCAAACACACTGACCATCCGTCAAATCCATTGACCACCTCCCGCTGATATCCTCTTGGTCCCTCTGCCCCAGCTGACTGTCCCCATCCCTTACCCACAGGGAAGGGGGACCTGATTGGGGCAGATATCCCTGAGCCGGGGCAGGAGCCTGGGTCAGGGGCAGGCCCAAGCTACGTGCTGAAGACCAGCGCTGACGTGAAGGCACTGACCTACTGTGGCCTGCAGCAGCTGAGCAGCCGAGGGCTGGCTGAGGTCCTGAGGCTCTATCCTGAGTACGGGGCTGCCTTCCGGGCTGGCCTGCCCCGGGACCTCACCTTCAACCTGCGCCAGGGCTCTGACACCAATGTATGTAGACCCCCTATGGCCTCCATCTCCTCTAAGGTCCCCTCCTTCAGAGCAGACCGCCCCCCCCCCCCGGCCCGAGAGAGAGCCTCACGCATCTCCTTCCACCCTGAGAAAATCGTTTCTCAATCCCAGGCACCCACTTCCATTGTCCCTTCCATGCTTGACATCTTCCATCCCCACCTGACCCTTCTCCATTGGCCATCACCCAACCCCATGGACCATCTCTCACCACTTGTACTTCCAACTCCTCTGACCCATCATGTCCTGTCAGCCACCCCTCAGCCTCACTCCAGACTCCTCAGAGGGCCCTCACTTTGGAAACAGTACCCCTCGTGGGCTCCTCCTCTGTCAAGTCCCTCTCTGAACTGGGGCATCATCCCCTGGGTTTCCTCTTCTGCACTCACCAAATATGTCCTGAGCCCATTTTGGCTTAGGCTCTGGGCCTTTGTCTTTCACCACTTTTCGGATTGACTTCTGCCACTCAGATGTCTCTGAGTTGGAGTTGGAGTTGGAGGGATCTCTGACTCAGTTACACAGAAAGGCCCCCCATTCTCAAAGCCCACAGCTTTGATGGGTAGGACTAGGAAGTGCTGCAGCAGGGGAGGGGGGAGGTGTGAGTCACCTTGAACCCCCCTGTGTCCCCACAGGGCCTCAGCCGCTTTTCCCGGTCTCCTCGCCTTTCCCAGGTAACACCACCTTCCTGGGTAGGCTTGAGGTTACATGGGGGAGAGTCTGGGAGCTGGGGGCACCTTTCCTTGGCTCCTTTGCTGCGGGAGAAGGGAGGGGGATGGCGAGCAGCATCTGCCAGTGAAGGCTGTAGCTTAATGAAGGGGCCTATTGTTCACTGTCCTGACATCAGCCGCCCTCTGCCCACAGACCCGCTCGGAAAGCCTCGGCTCCTCCTCAGACAAGACCCTGCCATCCATCACGGAGGCTGAGACTGGGGTGGAGTCTGGGGGTGGTTCTAGGCCCCGCCGGCCTCTCCTGCTGCCCAACCTCAGCCCAGCACGACCCCGGGGCTCCCTGGTCAGCCTCTTGGGCGAGGAGCTGCCCCCATTCTCAGCCCTTGTCTCCTCCCCTTCCCTGTCCCCAACCCCTTCCCCTGCCTTGGCTGGCCGGGGTCACAGGCCCTCCCCTCATGGCCCCCCCAGGGGCTCTGCTGCCTGGAAGCTCCCCCAGCTTCTCATTCCCCCACTGGGAACCTTTGGACCTCCGGACCTCAGTCCCCGGTGAGACGCCAGCCTCCCCTGCCTTCCCCATACCCCTGCTGGCTTCTAGAACCTTCTCTGGGCTCTGTCCCCAGCATTGCAACCAGTGCTCGTCCAGTGCTCGTCCTGTCTCTGCCCCATCTGCCCATCCGCCCTTCCTGATCCACCACACTTGCAACCCCACCCCTCTTTGACCGCCGCTCCTTCCCATCTCCCTGGCACTGCTGTCCCCGGTTACCCTCTGCCTGCTCTGCTCTGGCCCTTGCCCTCTCCCCATGGGACTGATGATCACTGCCCCCATCCCAGGATAGTGGATGGCATCGAGGACTCTGGCAGCACAGCAGAGGCCCCTACATTTCGGTTCAGCAGGAGGCCTGAGCACCCTAGGCCCTGCTCACAGGCCCCTCCTTCAGGTAAGGGCCAGCCACAGACTTCACCTCTCAGTCATCCATTCATGCGCCATCCACCCATCCCTTCAGCCATCCATTCCACATGCAGTAAGGGCTGACCCTGTGCTGGGCTCTGTGCTGGGCATACACAGATAAACCAGACCTGGCCTACATCCTTAGTGAGCTCCCAATCCAGTGGGGGACACAACTGTGTCCTGGGATAAATGATTCCAGAACAGGGTGTTAAGTACCATGACTGAGACAAGAACAAGGCTTTGAGGTACGAGAAGAGGGCACCCCTAACTCTCCTTCTTAGAGGAGGGGACACTTGTGCTGGGTCTTAAAGGCTGGGCAGGAGTTTGAGGGGGTGGAGCAAGGCAGTTGCTGGAAGCCATAAAGGCAGGAGAGAAGAGCATATTTTGTTTAGGTGCTAAAGAGAAGCTTCTGCGTATAGAGCTGGGGCAGGGGTAGAGGGATGGGGGCAGGGAAAGTTATAGGGCCTTGAAACCAGCTTGAAGAGTCTGGGTTTCCCATCATCCTGATCCCAGAGCTCCCTCTCCCCTTGTTCTCTGCCTGCCCGGCAACAGGAGGGCACCCAGCCCAGGCTGTGGACTCCTGCCCCCCACATTCACCCTGCATCCCTTCACCTCATTGTGCCTGCAGGTACCAGGCCCAGCCAGGAACTGGCCACGGAGGCTGAGGAGATGAAGGAAAAGGTCTGCAGGCTGAACCAGGAGGTGGGTGGGGGCTGGCTCCTCCCCTCCAACCTTGGAAAATACCATCTTGGGAGATGTGCCTCATAGTAGAGCATTTCAGGTTTTAGACCCAGAGTCCTGAGTTCGAATATTCACACTAGCTGGGTGACCTTACGCAAGTCCCACAACAACCCTGAACTTCAATTTCCTCGTCTAAAAATGGGGAAAAGGATATGTTTTTTGCCAGAGTCGTTGAGGATGAGGTAAGAGCACACCCATGCCTGGCCAGTCCCTGGTCCACTGTAAGCACTCAGTGACCCCTTCTGCTCCTTCCCAGCTGCTTCAGGTCCTCCTGCCTGTGAAGAGAGCCTCTCCTCCCTCCACCACGGTGGGGTTCTCTCCTTTAGGGACCTGCCCCCTACCAAGTCCTTTTCCTCACCCCAGCCCTGGGAAGTGGATGCTCAGTGAACGTAGGGGCCAGAGGATAGGGAGGGGGCAGGTCTTCAGCCCTGGGAGAGCTAGATCCTAGTGTCTGAAGCCTGGTCAGGAAGAGCCCAGATCTTATATGGCAAGGCTCTGCCTCCTCCCCGGGGATCTCTGAGCTGTCACCAGGGCACTGCCAGGCCCAACCCTTTGAGAGTGGGCCTTCCCTGGGTTCTGATAAACATAGGAGGCATCCCAGGAGGGTAGCCCCTGGGCTGGGTGGGCCCTGGGGATGCGGGCAGGACCAGGTCCCGGTTTAGCCAGCTGGAGGGCCAGTCCCACTTGGGTCACAGTTCTAGGCTTGGTGATTCCCACACTTGAGTGTCTGCCGGCACCATTAAGATGGGGACTCCTGAGCCTCACCCAATTTGGAATGTCTGGGGTGGGGCCCAGGAATCTGCATTCTGACAAGTTTCTCAGTTGATTCTGTACTCCCTGAAATTTGCAAAGCCCTGAATAGACACACTTGAGCGTGTGTGTTGGGATCACCTGAGACTAAGCCTGGGTCTGTCACCTCCAGCTTTGTGGCCTCTTTGAGGCCCATTTTTCTGCCTCTTATAAAAGTCGGGGAGGGGGGTGTTGCAATAGCCACAGTCCCAAATCCTTTTTGGAAAGAGGCTGAGTGTTTACATCTTGACAAAGATAACCCCTGCCCTGCCTGCCTTTTTCTCAGGCTGGGAAAGAGTTTTGTGAACTGTGTATGGGGGGTGCATTTAGGAGAGTGGTGGTTGTTGTGACACCTGGGGAACAATTTGTTATGTTTTCAACAGATCTCCCGTCTCAATCAGGAAGTGTCTCAGCTGAGCCGGGAGCTTCGACATATCATGGGCCTGCTACAGGCCAGGCTAGGTCCCCCGGGCCACCCAGTAGCCTCGGCTCAGCCCCCAGACCCTCCTGGTCCCCAGCTGAGGCCTCCGTGCATCTCTCCCTGTCTATCTGGACCACTGCCTAGCCTCCAGGATACTACTCTCGCTGAGGTCCACTGCCCGGCCAGTGTGGGGACAGCAGAGATGGGGGCCACGCCCCCCAACCTGAGACCCTCCGTGCTACCCCCCTACCCTTCAGAGCCTGAGTCTGTAGGACCCTCCCCAGTGCCAGAGGCCTCACCTCCGACCCCAAGCCTCATGCAGCAGAGCTTTCGGTCCAGGCCAGACGCGTTCCACTGACCCAGGCCCTGGGCCCAGGCCTGTCTGGGGTGGGCACTGCTGCCTGCCCTCCAGGGAGGGGCTGGGCCCCTTGGCCTCCTGCCTCAGGTCAGCAGCCACTAGCTGGTCTGGTTGGCTCTGCATTCTCTGGACTTTTTTACAAAGCCTGGTCACTTCTGACCCTGTTCCCTTTTCCAAACCTTCCCCTGCCCTTCCCCTCTGTGAGGGGAGCCACCTGAGGCTGTGGAACCCAACAGGCATGAGACGGAATGCAGTGCCGATTAGGCCGGGCAGATGACATGTCCTGCTTTCTCCCCAGGACCCGGAAGCAGGTAGATATGGGGGAGCATCGGGGGCTGGGGGAGGGTCCCAGATCCAGCGCAGGAAGTGAAGGCAGAGGCAAGAGCAGGAAGGATCTTGGTGTCTAAGACAAGAGGGACAGATTGCAGATTCCACTGCAGAGATAGCTTCCTGATATCGTGAGGCCTTCTGTCCCAGCCCCCTGTCCCCCGGGCTCTGCTGGAGACCTTGGAAGCAATGTCATCTTGAGAGGGATGAGGTTTGAGATGGCTGGCATCTGAGCAACCCAAGACTCCTTAGACCTCCCACTACCAGCCTGGGCTGGAGGGGCTCACCTCATCTCTCAGCCCACACAGGAAACAGATGATGACCCCCCAGATATGTATTCTATTCTCACAGCTTTTTTTTTTTTTTTTTTTTTCAAAATATGAATGAGTTGCCAGCACTAAAAATCAGGAGCGTTCACATAAATATCCAGATATTCCAGCTTCTCTTAAAAAAAAAATGTGGGGAGTTCTGGCAATCCTGGGCCAACATTCCACCTGGCAATAATCAACATGGTGTTGAGTGGCCATCTCCTCTTGAGATGGGGCCTCTCGAGATCATCTGACACTGAGCTAGCTTCTCTCATTTGAATTCTTTGGTCTCTGTAGGTATTTGGGTTTGCAGTTCCTGCCTTAGAGTGTCCTCCCAGGTTCCTCTGTTCCAGCGGGTGCTTTTTGGGCCCAGCAATGTCTTTTTTTTTTTTTTTTTAAGATTTTTAAATTTCTTTATTTGACAGAGAGAGAGACAGCGAGAGAGAGAACACAAGCAGGGGGAGTGGGAGAGGGAGAAGCAGGTTTCCCGCTGAGCAGGGAGCCCAATGCGGGGCTCGATCCCAGGACCCCGGGGTCGTGACCCCAGCCGAAGGCAGACGCCCAGTGACTGAGCCACCCCAGCACCCTGGGCCCAGCAATGTCTATTTCTACACCTGTGCCTGGGCCTGTCAACATCTCTGTTTCTGTCTTTCTGCAGGCTGTCCCTGAAGGTGGTCTCTTCTGCTGCCAGCAACTTGAAACAGTCCCCACAGCACTCTCTATCCCTCCCCCTGCACCAGACCTCAGTCAAGCCTGTTCTTCCCACATCCAACTAGGTCTCACTCAAGGCCCTGACTTCTCACAAACCCACCCTGGTCTCCAGCTCTCCCTTACCACCCAACACCCAGGGCTCACTTTTGGATAGGAAATAAACGCTTTATTTTTGTAGTTGTTGGCTCTGGATGTTTCTGGGGGTTGGTCTGAGAGCCCCAGGGCTTTGGAGGAGCCTACAGGGCAGTCATTCCCCACCACACCCCAGGCCCTGTTGTTGTCTCTAGGAAGGGCAAAGGCGCCAAGCAATCCACTTGGCACCATATTCACGCCACCAGAGGCCCCAGGGATGAGGTAGAAACCTTAATGAGTCACTGTGGGCCCGTTATACCCCGTCCTCCCCTTACCCATCACAGCCTCAGATTCAGACACAGTATGTGAGAGGGACAGAGTCCCGGCTCAGGCCCACCTCCAGCCCATGGGACTCCCCACTGATCCTGTATAATTGAACCTGTAACTGTTGCAGGCTAGGTACAGCAAGGGCTGGGGAAAAAGCTTGTCACTAGCCAAAAACCTCCTAGGAATTCCACTCGGTCCCGTCTCCTTTGCTCTCCTAAGTCTCTCTTCCCTCTTAGCTTTCACTTCTCAGATAATCACTGCAGAGGTGCAGGGGTGGGGAGATGGGGGTTACGGATATTGTTAGAAAGAAGCACCCTGGTGACTAGATGGAACTAGGTGTGGGCAGTTTTATGGCAGGCTGCCCCAGACAGGTTGATTCTCCAGCTCAGGCTCCAAAGTATGATTGTTGTTAGTGGGTGTCACAGGAACAACGTCCACAGCACTGAGGGCCTGAGCTTTGATTCCATATCAGGTTTTGAATAGTGTTCCTGGGAGGGGGAAGCCAAGGCAGAGTAGATACCGGTCTGTGTTGGGGGATGGGAGTGGGCGGAAGCAGAAGTGGTCCTAATCCGTATTGAGGGAAGGAAAAAAACAGAAAAATAGAAATAGTCCTGATCCATATGGAGGTCAAGGTGGGGGAGGCAAACAGAAGTGATTCTAATCTGTATTTATGGATGGGGAGAGCCAAAGCAGAAGTGGTCCGGCTCTGTTTTTGGCATCAGAGACAAGAGCTGGTTCTGTTTGGAGGTGGGGATGGCAGAGGTAGAGGTGATCCTGGTGTGTCTTGGTGTCCAGCCAAAGGAGGAGGGTCCTGGCTTAGGGCTGACAAGTGGCAGGAGCTCTCCTTTTGATCTCACCCAGTAGCCTCCAGAGAACCCTTCCTATAGCACTTCCATCACCTTCCCCGTTACAGAATGTCCCCCACAGTCGGGCTCCCCGAGCTGACTTGGCCCTAGAAAAGTGCAGACAGGGGCTTCTCCGGTTTAGCCAGTGCTCAGGACTGCGGCCTCATGTGCATATTCATTCACACCATGTTCTTCCTTTTCCAATTCTGCACACACAGCCGTCTGCCCTCTTCCAGCGCTCCGCCACCCGCCTCCCCTCGGGGCTCCTGGAACCCAGGGTGACGCGCTTGGCAGGCCTGGCTTTAAAAAGTTCCCGGTCGGGCTCCGCCTCGCCGGCAGCCGGCTCCACCCTAAGTCTAAATCCCAGGCGGCCACTGGCTCCTCCCAGCTCTGTGAACTACAAGTCCCGCCGTCCCTCGCGCGCGCTCTCCCGCCTCGCCCGTGTCCCCCACAGGCGTCGACCGTGAGTCGGCCAAGAGTGCCTCCCATTGGTCTCTCGGCCCTGTCAGTCACCTGGGCGTATTGAGGGGCGGGTCTGAGGTGGAGATCCGGATCCGGAGCGGCTGAAAGGCGGAAGTGGAGGCCGGAGCCTGGGACACCGACGGGGGGGGAGAGGAGCGGAACCCGTCCGAGCCCCGGCCCCAAGTAACGCCGCCGCCCCGGAGACGCCGTGAGTGTGCCTGTCCTGGGACCTAATGTCTCGCTCGCGTTGAAGCCTCTTCGGGGCAGCACTTCCTCCCGCCGAACGCCGGCTTAGGGGGATACTGACCCCTCCCCCGACCCGTAGCCCCCTCTTAAGGGGCTCCCCAGGCGTCGGGCCAAAGTGGGGGCCCTTCTTTCCTTCCCTTACCTGCCTCTTATGAGCCTTGGGAAACCCCCAGGGCTCTCCTCTTGCCTGTCCAGTCCAGTTGTGGGAGGGAGAGACCCCAAATTCTGCTCCCTCTGCTCCCAGAACTGGAGGAATCTTTCCTAGGTATGAAGGAGCTTGTCTTCCTTCTCTATAGAGGTGGCGAGGAGTGCTGTCTGTCGCCGTTTTCCTCCCCCTCCCCTCCCCCCCACCGTCCCACAAAAACAATTGTCTCCTCCTGCCCTAGAGAAATTTTATCTCGATTTCCTGGGGGGGCGGAGGGGTCCTGGGTGAGAGCCTTCCACACGCACAGGCTCCCACAGCTCCTCACTTCCTCTCTTTCCTCAAGCCAGGGAGCCAGCCAGGATCTCAGCAGAATTTAAAGTCTGGGCCACTTTTTAGGAATGAGCTGTCTTCTCCTTGTCTTGCCCCCTCCACCCCCAACCTTGTCCTCTAGTTATGTTCTCTAGTTGTGTTCTCTGGAGTGTATCTCTCTTCCTGCCTCTGAAAAATTTAGCTGAGGTTTGCTTAATCCTAGCTACAGATCACAGATCAGGGTGGATCTGCCCATTCATTATCTTCTCTCTCCCCCCCTGTCCCCCTCCCCCTTGCTCCAGGCTCAGCCCTGTCCTCCCAGAGCACGTGAGTGGTTTTCAAGCTGCTTCAGAGGGACTGCTCCTCCTGGGACTGCTGTCTGCTGGTCTTTAGGGAGTAGGGGAAAGACCAAAAATGAGGAGTGTGGAATTGAAGGGGCCTGGCCTGTCTTTCCCACTCTCAAACACACACACACACACACACACACACACACACACACACACACCCCTCCTTGATCAACAGGTCTGTGTCACTTCTGCCTAGTCTCAGGGCCTCTCCAATCCCTTCTGGGCTTGGACAAATTGTAGATTACAGAGGAGTAAATTGAGACCACAGTGGCACCTCTGGGTTCTTGATGTGCTAATTTTTGTAGCCCAAGGAATTCCCATGCATGCCAGAAAGTACTGATTCCCCCACCTCCCCAGCAGCCTTTCCAAGAGGCAGCCTGTACTGACACCTGATCCTTGTCTATTGCTTGGGACTTAGGTGTGTGAAATGGCTGTTGTCTCAGACCAGGCTCGCAGGTTTTGTTATGTGGCCAAAGTGCAGGCCAGAGACTGTTCCTTAATGAGAGTAGCCTGACTCTTTGAGTCCGTGGCTGACCCTTGCTATCTACAGGCGAGGGAGGGAGGAAACACCATGCAGTCTTTGGGAATTTCTGTAGCTCTTCAGTGTTCTGGGCCACCTTTACTGCCCTTACAGGTGCTAACCATTTTTTGTCTTGGGACCTTTTTGACTTCTTCTCGACAGTCACCAGTGTCTGACACCTACAAACTTTTGAGCTAGACCTGGGATGCATTCATTCCATTTTTTATTGGACAACAGGAAAGCCTACCTTAATTAGGGCCAGTGGTTGGATCACAAGCTCTCTATCTGTGTGGTCTTCTTTGGAGGGTCGTTGGAGACTTCTTTGGCCAGCCACGTTTCTCTAATCTGGTCATCCTGTGCCTCTGAGGGGCAGGGCCAGAGAGGCCTGCCTGCTCATTGGCCGTTGGTCTCTAACCAAACTTACCTCCTTGGTAGTGAGCTGTGGTTTCTGGAACTCTTTGGGAGTCCCAGGATGAGGCTGCCAGCCTTCTGAGGGGACCTTCTTTGTCTGGACATGCTCTCCCAGCTAGGATTCTGAAACAGGTTTTTTTTGAAGGAGAAGCTCTCCCTTTCAGGGAGACGTGGAAGGCATCAGTGCTCCGGGTAGTTAGGCAGCCACTTCTGGCATCCAGGGATTGTAGAGTTCCAAGCAGTGATCTGACGTTGCTTGGCAGAAAGAGGGAGGGCTCTGTGTGACACAGAAGCCTCTCCTCTCTTGCCTCTTCCAGCTAGCTGTCCTTTCCTGCCTTCATACAATAGAGAGGTGGTAACAACTGATTTTTATTTTATTATTATTATTATTTTAAGATTTTATTTATTTATTTGACAGAGAGAGACACAGCGAGAGAGGGGACACAAGCAGGGGGAGTGGGGGAGGGAGAAGCAGGCTGCCTGCGGAGCAGGGAGCCCGATGTGGGGCTCAGTCCCAGGACCCTGGGATCATAACCTGAGCCGAAGGCAGACACCTAATGACTGAGCCACCCAGGTGCACCAATTTTATTATTATTATTTTTAAAAATTTTGTTTACTGAGAGAGAGAGCAAGCGAGAGAGCATGAGCAGGGGGCAGGGAGGGGCAGAGGGAGAAGCTGACTCCCCGCTGAGTGGGGAGCCTGATGCGGGGTGATCCCAGGACCCAGGGATCATGACCTGAGCTGAAGGCAGACACTCAACTGAGTGAGCCACCCAGGCATCCCAACAACAGATTTTTAGAAATCATTTTAAAGTTGCAGTTTTTGGGGTGTCTGTATGGCTCAGTAGGTTAAGCGTCTGCCTTCGGCTCAGGTCATGATCCCAGGGTCCTGGGATCGAGCCCCACATCGGGCTCCTGCTCTGTGGAGAGCCTGCTTCTCCCTCTCCCTCTGCCTGCCACTGTGCCTACTTGTGCTCTCTCTTATCTCTCTGTCAAATAAATAAATAAAATCTTTAAAAAAAAATGAAGTTGCAGCTTTTTCACGCATGTTTCTCACAGGAAACAAAGTTCACACCTATTCCTCACAGAGTCCTGGGAGATAGTGGGATTTGTATCTCCGTTTTAAAGATGATGCTGGGGCGCCTGAGTGGCTCAGAGGGTGCCTGAGTGGCTCAGTCGTTGGGTGTCTGCCTTCGGCTCGAGTCATGATCCCAGGGTCCTGGGATCGAGCCCTGCATCGGGCTCCCTGCTCTGCGGGAAGCCTGCTTTTCCCTCTCACAGTCCCCTTCCTTGTGTTTCCTCTCAAGCTGTGTCTCTCTCTGTCAAATAAATAAAATCTTTAAAAAAAAAAATAAAGATGATGCTGAAGGAATTTAAGTAGCTAGCCTTAGATCATCCAGTTAGAAAGCCGTAGAGCCGGGGCTTGGGATTTGGGATTCGATGTGCCTCATCTTCCCGAAGAGTGAGCCCTCCTTGGGTCTGTTTAAGGAATGAGCATGCAGGATGAGCAAGCAGAGGCCCCAGGCAGACCCTTAAGCATCCCTGTCATTGATGCCGCTCCTCTGCTTCCATTTTCTTCCCCACCCTTCTGTCCTCCTGGATCCCCATCTCCTCTGCCTCTGGGGACCATGGCAGTTATGAGTCCCAGGTCAGTACTCTTCAGGGCCTGACAGTTTGCTGACATCTGTACCATTAATTCTGGGAACCTGAAAGTCCTGATGGCTAGAAAATGAAAGTAAAAGTGAGTGGGCTCAGGGGTCTCTCTGGACAGGGTTATGGGTAATGGGAGCCAGCAGAGGCGGCTTCTGCAGCCCGCCCCCGCCCCCCCCATTCCCCTTGGTGCTGCCGCTGCTTGCAGGTGGGAAGACTGTGGCTCTCCACCAGGAGCTCCTTTCACTAGAATTTACATGGAAACAGCGAGATCATAAATTTAACCCCATGAAGCAAGTACTTCTTAGAGAGAGCCTTCTTCCTCTGACCCTTGCCCAGTAAACAGGTGGTATGGTAGGGGGGAAAGTGCAAGAGCTTTAGAGTCAGCCAGAGCTGAGTTGTCATCTGGATTCCCCCATTTACCGGTCACAGGGCCTTGGACTTGTTACATGACCTTGTTGAGCCTCTGTTTCTTCCAGTAGAATGGGGATACAAAGTATTTTGCAGAATTGGAAACAGAGGGTAAAGGAGCTAGTCCAGGTCCTGGCACAGGATAGATAGACACAAATAGCAATTTTGTGGATTGGTGGGGTTTTAAAGGCATATTATAATTCATCATATGTACAGATTCAGCATCTGTACCAGGTATTGCTGTGATGCCTTGTGCTTTGCTTGATGGTTTCACATGTTGTCTCATCTCATAGATATCGATCAAAATTGCTGTGGGTTGTCTTCCCATTTTACAGAAGAGAATGCTCAAGCCTTGGCTGTGCTTCTCCCACTGGGCTTCTCCTACCCTGCTGGGGTCATGTGCTGTGGAGTCTTCTAGGCTCTTCCGTCTTCATCTTAAACATTTTTGCATTAAAACAGTTCTGGATCTATTACAGATTAGAATGCAAAGTTTGCCTGAATCTAAGCTAAAACAAGAAACTCAAAGAGAATATTTTGGTTGTGGCAGGCTGCTTGGCGTTCAATTCCCAGATTCCTGGGGTTTTGCATTTCCTCTCCCCTTGTTGGGGCTATTTAAGAAGCACTGCTTTCAGGTAGGATTTATAAACTGGGATGGCACCAAGGTCGGGGGCTTTCAGGAGCCATGGCAGAGGAGAATTGGTATATTTTTTAAGGGACTCCTCCGAATGAATAGCCTGGTATTTTAAGAGAGTAGTTTTCAGATTATATATCCGCATTTCCTGTATATAGGAACAGTAAACAAGTAAAAGCGCATCAGTCAGGAGTCAGA